CGCGTGTTCACAGCGCTATGAACCCCCAATGATCCACTTGGGTTCGGAACGATTGACAAAAAATAACTGAGTATACTACAAGCTAACGCGTACAGAGATTGAGAATTGTGAAGATGAGTGCAAGTTGGAATGAGAGGCACTTACAGGGACCCACCCACCCTGCCCACGAGCATACAACTTAAAACTAACTTAAAGCTTAATAGACTTAGAACTAAGGCGCGCATCCCTCGATGATCCCACGATGTCTTCGAGCGATGTCTTCAATCTTCGTGTATACACATTTCACACATCATTCATACTACAATTATATTACAATATTTTGTGCGCAACTTAAAACTAATTTAAAATTAGCGCATCCATCGATGGAATTCCTCAAAGGAAGTCTGCAATAATTACCTATGCAATAATTGTCTGCAAGACTAAAAAATATATAGAAACATACAATAAATGAGATGAATGTTTAAAATTTGAGTAAAAAAGAAAATTGAAGTTCGAGTCGACTCGATAAAAATATGCAAATAAAAATAGAAATATATTTGAAAAATGATAACTTACTTGGAATAAAAATCTAAATCATGCGAAAATAATTAAGGGAATTGCAATTATTAAAAATCACAGACATAAAATTAAAAGCTGAAACATACAAAAATAATTAAAACAAATATTAATTATTAACAATTACTTACTTAAAATATAAACCTGGAATATACAAAAGTTATTGAGACACATATGAAACATTACTTACTTAAAATAAAACTCTGAAACAGACAAATGTTATTAGAGAAACATAATTCATTGATGAATTACTTACATAAAATAAAAACCTGTAACATACAAAAATAATTAGACGAAAATAAAACATTAAAAATTACTTACTTGAAATTAAAACCTGAAACAGACAAAGATATTTAAGACAAATATCAATCATTAAAAATTACTTACATTAAATAAAAACCTGAAACATACAAAAATAATTAGACAAACATGAACCATTAAAAATTACTTACTTGAAATTAAAACCTGAAACAGACAAAGATATTTAAGACAAATATCAATCATTAAAAATTACTTACATTAAATATAAACCTGTAACATACAAAAATAATTAGACGAAAATAAAACATTAAAAATTACTTACTTGAAATTAAAACCTGAAACATACAAAAATAATTAAGACAGATATGAAACATTACTTACCTAAAATAAAAATCTGAAACAGATAAATGTTATTAGAGAAACATAAATCATTTAATTACTTACTTAAAATAAAAACCTGGAACATACAAAAATAATTAGACAAACATGAAACATTAAAAATTACTTACTTGAAATTAAAACCTGAAAGAGGCAAAGATAATTAAGACAAATATCAATCATTAAAAATTACTTACTTAAAATATAAACCTGTAAATTACAAAAGTAATTAGACAAACATAAAACATTAAAAATTACTAAGAATAAAAACCCGGAACATACAAAAATAATTAAGACACATATGAATCGCTACTTACTTAAAATAAAAATCTGAAACAGATAAATGTTATTAGAGAAACATAATTCATTTAATTACTTACTTAAAA